GGGGGGGGGGGGGGGGGGGGGGGGGGGGACGAGTTCCCACCCTCATTCCCATGTGGCTCCGCCCTTGATTGATTCTTTGGTACACAAGGAAGAATCGCTCCTAGAAGAGATTTGGATCATTTGGTAGAGAGAAATGTTATACTAACTAAATTTTAAAATTAAATTTGGAGTTCAAATGATATGGCAGTGGACTTGTACTTTTTTATTTGGTGTCATATCATTTGAGCCCTAGTAAAAATTCAAAATAATATACTATCATATTATTTGAACTCTAAATTTAATCTCAAAATTTTATCGGCGTAACATTACTGTTTGATTGAGGGCAAAAAGAACAAAAAATTTCGAAAAGCAGTAAAGACAAAAATTTCAACAAGGTTCAATCCATCACTATTCATATCTGATAATTGAGCCTAAGCTGACTGTGTGTGCGTCACAGAGAGAGAGAGAGAGAGATGGGTAAGGGAGGGATGTCACATGGTGATGGGGAAGGCGACGATGGAGTGGAAGACAACATGGCAGCATGGCTTCTTGCTGTCAAAACCCTTCGAATTCAACCTTACAATCTCCCTCCTCTTGGTCTCTATTGTTTTTTTCTCTCTTTAATTCTCAGTTTCCAAATTTCATGCATTTCGTTATTGCTTTTGTGTTGGGTACACTGTCATGGAAGAGTCATTCTCCACTCAACATTTTCCAATCAAATGAAGTACCAGTTTTTATGTTTTAGTTAGAATTAGAGTTTCAATTGACTCCTATGAACTCTTCAATCAGTTTGGTCAATTGGATTTTAATCATGCGATTGAACCTTCAGGCCCTCATGATGTTAAGGTTCGGATGAAAGCTGTGGGCATATGTGGAAGTGATGTTCATCATTTCAAGGTAAACTGCTCAAATTGTCATACTTCTGGAAATTAATTTGCTGATGCTTTTAATCTAAAATGACTTTGAAATAGATAGAGATGGAGATGTTTCCATATAGTGTTTGATTAATTGATTATGTGGTGTTTTGAATGATGTGTATGTCCAGAATATGAGATGTGCAAACTTTGTTGTGAAAAAGCCTATGGTAATTGGGCATGAGTGTGCTGGGATCATAGAAGTAGGCAGTGAGGTGAAATCTTTGGCGGTGGGCGATCGTGTAGCGTTGGAGCCTGGTGTTAGTTGCCAGAGATGTGATCTTTGCAGGGATGGTCGCTACAATCTGTGCAGAGAAATGAAGTTTTTTGGCTCTCCTCCAACCAATGGTTCTCTTGCCAATCAGGTAATTGAGGATTGCATCATTGCCTGTCAAAACTAGCCTTTTCCTTGGCATTGGTCAGCTAGTCTAAATGTCACTATTACAACAGTATCAGTTACTTTAATTGTCTTCTCTTATCATCTTCAAGTTTCTGTTCATTGAATTAAGATATTTACTTAAAGATTTTGCACTCAGTCATAGGCAAGTGTAAGATGTGTAGTCAGTTGCACCATAACTCTGAAGTCCACTGTTTTTCAGTTCTAAAGTTTGAACCAGAGCATAATTTTTTGCATTCTTTTGCTCTTTAATGCACTAGAAAAAAAAAAAACAACTATGCAACTAAGGGGACCAACAATAAGAGCAATATATGACTGATGTTCTGATCTCAGTTTGTTTACGGGCTATATCATCCTGAGGGACTACAGAAGTATATCGAAGGATGCCCAATGGTGTTTCCTATGAATGCCAAACAGGATTCTATTGCTTCATTATGGGTTTGATTCAATAACCAACACTGACTGACATGTTTTCTTTCTATTATAATTGGAATGAATATGTGGGGATAAATCCTGCATTGATGTTTATTACTTGCATATCAATGTAGTTAATCAGTCTTCACCAGTTTATGAATATAGTTGATCTGTTTTCACCAGTTTAATGTGTTGAGCAAGTACATTTTTCGTCTTGCACTAGGTGGTGCATCCGTCAAGTCTATGTTTTAAACTACCTGACAATGTGAGCTTGGAAGAAGGGGCAATGTGTGAACCTCTCAGTGTAGGTGTCCATGCATGCCGGCGTGCTAATATTGGTCCAGAGACAAAAGTGTTGATCATGGGAGCTGGACCCATTGGCCTTGTCACAATGCTGGCTGCTCACGCTTTTGGAGCCCCTAGAATTGTCATTGTCGACATAGATGAACGCCGCTTATCATTTGCCAAAGATCTTGGTGCAGATGAGATTATTCAAGCTTCTACAAATGTTCAGGTATAAATCAATTTGTGTTCACCCTAGGTTCCAGTTATCAAGTGTTAACACATTATCATCAAATTTTGATGCATCATGCAAGTGCTACAATGTACAGGATGTGGATAAGGAAGTGGTGCAGATACATAAAGCAATGGGTGCTGGTGTAGATGTGAGCTTTGATTGTGTTGGCTTTAACAAAACCATGTCGACAGCTTTAAATGCTACTCGACCTGGAGGTCGAGTATGCCTCGTGGGACTTGGCCAGAGTGAAATGACTATCCCTCTAACACCAGCTGCTGCAAGGTAATTGATTTATATTTCCTTTTAGATGCTCTGTTTGCAAGGTACCATGAAGACTTCAATTGAGACTTCAATGTTGTGCATCAAATAATCATATTTTCTTCTTGGGTAATAGGGAGGTGGATGTGATTGGCATATTCCGATATAGGAACACATGGCCACTCTGCATTGAGTTTTTGAGGACTGGCAAAATTGATGTGAAGCCACTCATAACCCACAGGTTCAAGTTCACTCAGGAGGAGATTGAAAAAGCCTTCGAGACCAGTGCAGGGGGTGGTAATGCCATCAAGGTCATGTTTAACCTGTAGATGTAGCTCAAGCAGTGCATCACAGATGATAAGGGATATTTACAAGGTAGTTGCTCCTTTGGGTAATTGGCTTCAACCTAAGATATATTTTGGGTGAACTATGTGTGCATTTGTAAGCAACAAATATTGCGAAGAAGATTATTATTTGATGATGCTGATGATGAGGAGACCACAACGAACGCATGCTGTATTACAATTTATCATGTTAAAACAGCTAGCTTGTTACAAGTGTTCTGAGAACATGCACAAAGTCACAACACAAATTTTCAGAATTACCCAACATCAATAACTTGAATGAAGTTTAACAACATCCTTTTGTTGTGACAAACATACTGCCCCATCCATGGGCAGTTCGGAAGAAACTTAGCTGAGCTGAATGTCTGTATTCAAAATAAGAATCCAAAGATTACAAGAGCCATGTGCAGCAGTTATCTTCAGTGGAATACTTCTTTGCACTCTTTTTATCATCCTTGGGGCAGCATGGCAATCATTAAGTTTCCCATATAGGTTATATATGTAATCCAACATCACTGTCACCATGAGGTCCAGTACATGCATACTTTCCATCAATGTGATGCCACGGTCACATCCGTTATGATTGAGAACTCTAACCTGATATGTGGAGTCAACCTGCAATGGCTGATAACCTGAGTCTACAGCAGCTTAATAATGCAATCTCCTGTTTCAGATTGACTTCCATTACCTCTTATTTCTCTGCTTTCAACTATAAATTGTGATGTTTATTGCCCATGAACATCACATATTCACCATATCTTGTTCTTGGAGCAGAAGAGATCATTCAATCTCAGAGAATTGTCATTGAATTGAGAAAAAGTTTATGATCAACAACAGTGGAATTCAAAACACAATGAAAAGCTTGGGGAATGTGGTAGGTTCTTTTCCGATATAGCTCAGTGGTTTGGCCAAAAACATGCAAAGCCTTCTTTTAGAGCTCTTTAAGTGCCTGAAAGAACTTAACAAGCAGTCTCATCAAAGTTCTACAAAAGCATCACTCTGTTTTCAAGCCAGGATGGACACCTCACTATAGATTATCGTTCTCGAATGAATCCTCAGGAGCCCAGTCAATTCCATGAACAAGAACCACTGCACTTCTGGCATGGTTAACACTAGGATCTTGCATAAAGAACCAAATAGAATCATCCAGCCAACTAGTCCAGTATGAGGGCAAAATCGACTAATTCAATTGTACATGCCTGTTTCTCATATCTGTTCAAATTTTCAACGACACCTATATTTGCGCCAAGTATGCCAACATATAGAGTTTCTCTGTCACAGACTATAGTCATAATATTTATGTTTTGAATTCAGAGAAGACATTTTCCTGACTGCTATTAGATGATAGACAATCTACTTCTATAGAGCTCCAACCAAAAGGCTTCTCGACATTACCTTCCTCCATCAACTTTCTCATTTTTATAGCATCGTCCCATCTATCTGCACCGGCATAAGTGTTTGATGAAAGAACATAATTCCCACTATTCAGAGAATCTAGTTCAAGAAGCTTGTTAGTTGCAATCTCAGCTAGGACCACATTTCTATGAAGCTTACAAGCACTCAATAAAATCCTCCATACCACAACATCGGGAAGTATAGGCATTTGCTTTATAAATTCATATGCCCTATCGAGATTGCCAGAGCGGCTCAAGAGATCAACTATACACCCATAGTGTTTCATCTCTGGCACTAACCTGTGATGTTTTTCCATACTTTCGAAATACTCCAAACCTTTATCTAGCAAACCAGCATGAGCACAAGCTAGTAATATCCCAACAAAAGTTCCATGAGTTGGCCTAACTCCTTCGCTTAACATTTCAGAGAAGAGCCTAAGGGCATAATCAGCAATACCATTCACCGCAAGGCCTGAGATGACTGAAGTCCACGACACAGAATCCTTCTCTTTCATCTTTTGAAACACTTCCAGTGCCTTCCTCACTGATCCACATTTGCAGTACATATCTATTAGAGAGTTCCCCACATAAATATCCACTTTTACACTATGCTTAAGAATATAATCATGTACTGCCTTGCCTACATCAAGTCTGCCCAAGTGTGCACAAGCAGAAAGCACACTAGCAGCAGTAATTTCATCAGGTTTAACCTTAGCCACCATCATTTCTTGGAAAAGCCTCACTGCATCATTAAATTGGTTAGCTTGAGAGTAACCTGTGATCATAGAAGTCCAAGAAATCACATCGCTCTCCGGCATCTCATCAAAAAGCCTCCTCGCCACAACTAAGTCCCCCACTTTTGCATACCCAATGATCATGGCATTCCAAGAAACTATGTTTTTTTCCACCATCTGATCAAAAACTTCCAGCGCCAACTGCACTGAACCACGCCGTCCATACATATCTACCAATGTGTTCCCCAAGTAAACATCAATTTCTACATTATTATCCTCTATGTACTTAACCACCGAATCTGCAATTTTCTGGTCACCTACATGGCTGCAAGCCAAGATAACTTTCACCATTGTCACGGCATCAGCCTTCACATTCGCAGTTTTCATTGCATCAAAAAGACCCAGAATTTCCTTATACCTAAAACACTGACTATACCCACAAATCAATGAGTTCCAAGAGACCAAGTCTTTTTCGGACATTTCGTCAAACAGTTTCCTAGCAAAACCGAAATCACCACATGAAGCATACATATAAATCAAAGCATTACAGACATAAAGATACGATTCAAACCCAAGTTTCATAGCATGAGCATGAACCTTCTGTCCATGAGCAATATCTGAAACTCGTGAACACGCCTTAAAAACAAATATAAAAGTCAGATTGTTTCCGAATAATCCCTGGTTTCGCATTTGATTATACATGTGGAGTGCTTCAACGGGTCGATCACTCTGTGACAAACCACGAACCATATGGTTATAGATTAACAACATGGGTTGTTCGATTTGGTTAAAAGCGAAAAGGGCTTTGGGTAGACTGTTTGGAGAGAGAGCATATGATCGAATAACGTCAGACATTGAAGACGAGTCTCTGTAAAGTTGGGTTCTGATGCGATGTCCGTGGAGCTCTTTGATGGAGTCATTAGACATTAAATTCTTGGAGACTCGCTCTGGGCTTGGGGTCGTTGAGAAGGTGGCGAAGAGGCGCGAAATGGGTCTTGCGAGTTTCATTTGAAATCTGTACGTTTATGGAGAAGGTTAAGACGGAAGTATCTTGTACATGTTTTTAATATATATTTTTATGGAATATGAGTGGTATTAGGCAGATGTTTTAGTAAGTAAGGTGGTGATAGAGTATTTTGTGATTAGTTTTTTTAAGTGGTTGTCACGGGTAGTTATTAAGATAGTTTTATTATATTGTATTTAAAGATCTTTTTATCAATAAAATGAATATGATGAATATTATATTAAACTTTCTCGTAAAATTTTGGAGATAAATTCTTCTCGAATTGAATTATTGTAGATTTTCACCTCCTTCAAAACGGTTTTTTTTTTTCTCAATTCTATTTTTTCTTTATTTTACAAATTACTCAAAATCGTACGGTAACAATTAACATCAAAGCTGACGATCTTATTAATGGCTACCTCATCAAAAATTTTAAAGTTAAATGCGTGATGAATTTTAAGAAGAGTGCAAGAGATTGTTTAAGCAAAATCAACGCGTGCAAGAGAGGTTCAACAAAGTTCTAAAAATCCTCCATGAAGGTGTGTCCACTCAAATGAAGGAGCAAAATGACAAACCATACCGGGATCAACAAGCATGTGAAAGTTGAGCACAACAAAACACGAAGACAAGATGCAAATTCTAGTGGGATTCAAGTCTACTCAAGCACAGGAGCAAAATGGCAGCCACTTGGGACGCATTTATCCTCATTTTTTCCTAAACTTAGCACCAAACAATCTATTGGTCAAGTGATTGAAATTTCTGATCACATAGATTTTCTTCAAGAGGAAAATTTAACTGATGATCGACATCACCACTCATTTAGCCATAAAAAAAATATTCATTTTCAATGAGAAGGAATCAAAAATTGCATCAAGTAAGGATATGATTTTATTAGTAATTGTTAGATAATGAAGGTTGAAGAATCAAAATGGCACTCATGCTAACAAGATNTTTTTTTTTCTCAATTCTATTTTTTCTTTATTTTACAAATTACTCAAAATCGTACGGTAACAATTAATATCAAAGCTGACGATCTTATTAATGGCTACCTCATCAAAAATTTTAAAGTTAAATGCGTGATGAATTTTAAGAAGAGTGCAAGAGATTGTTTAAGCAAAATCAACGCGTGCAAGAGAGGTTCAACAAAGTTCTAAAAATCCTCCATGAAGGTGTGTCCACTCAAATGAAGGAGCAAAATGACAAACCATACCGGGATCAACAAGCATGTGAAAGTTGAGCACAACAAAACACGAAGACAAGATGCAAATTCTAGTGGGATTCAAGTCTACTCAAGCACAGGAGCAAAATGGCAGCCACTTGGGACGCATTTATCCTCATTTTTTCCTAAACTTAGCACCAAACAATCTATTGGTCAAGTGATTGAAATTTCTGATCACATAGATTTTCTTCAAGAGGAAAATTTAACTGATGATCGACATCACCACTCATTTAGCCATAAAAAAAATATTCATTTTCAATGAGAAGGAATCAAAAATTGCATCAAGTAAGGATATGATTTTATTAGTAATTGTTAGATAATGAAGGTTGAAGAATCAAAATGGCACTCATGCTAACAAGATTTTAATGGAAGTTGTTCATGAGAATTCACGTGCTGGAATTGAAGTAGTTCTTTTCCAATCGTTGAACCCAAAATGTGGGCTCAGTTTCCCTGAAGTTGCTTGCCAAGGTAGTACCTACCTACTATCTTAGTAGTGAAAACATGGATAGATTGTTATGTACATGTTTTTAATATATTTTTATATAATATGAGAGATAGTTATTAGGTGGATATTTTAGTAAGTGAATTAGTGATAGAGTATTTTGTGGGTAGTTTCCGAAGTAGTTACTAAGATAGTGGGAGTCATGGATTAAATTAGTTATTAAGTTAATTTTATTATATTGTATTTAAAGATCTTTCTATCAATGAAATAATAAATAAAATATTATATTAAACTTGCTTGTGGAAGTTTTGGAAATGAATTTTTCTCGAATTGAATCATCAGAGATTTCTATCCCTCGAAGCGGGTTTTCTTTTTTAATTCTATTTTTTCTTTATTTAATGAATCACTCAAAATCATGCAGATAGCATATCTGTGTCCACTGTCAGGGCCATGGCACTGGACTAACAAGCAGACTCCATAAAACAAATAAAAACAATAGCCCTCTTTGATTTTCATATCCTAAACTGTTTTCGGTTTTCGAAACAGTTTGACGAATTATTCTTGAAAAATTAAGAATAAAAATTGGTTAGATTTTATGTATTTTTTCAAACAACTTTTTCATAATTTAAAATATACTAGGACCACCACCGTATTTCCACCACCTTTCTACCAACACCACAATCATCACCACCACCACACTTCTACCACCACACTTTCACCATTCTTCCACAAACACCACTATCACCACCAACATCACACTAGTATCACCACATTTATGTTTTTTAGGTTACTGTCCAAACAAATTTTAAGAAAACGCTAAACTCTTTCCAAAAAAATTTTTCGGATGTTATTTTTTAAGACTCAAACAAAACAGTGGTTATAGCCCCCACATGAATAACCTATTTTTAACTGAATCGAGAGAGAATTAGTCGAGATGTACGTAAGTTGATTTGAACATCTTTAAGCATTGAATCAAAAAAATAAAAAATAAAACCAGTAAGAACTCCAACTTTGGACTTCCAACAAGTAGAAAATATGTACTGTAACGATTACACCATATCACTATTATCACGTAACGTAATTGACCAATTTTCATACAAATCGCTAAATTAATCAAATTTTGAGGCTAAATTTTATGGCTCAAATAAATGTAGTATACTCATACTCAACAAAAAGTCTAAATGAAATTGTTCCAATCATTTGGCCAATAAAATTTGGGTAATCTAGTATCGTCGTTATATATTTGTTTATAATATAATTTAAACTTAAAATTTATGCTAAATAAAACTCCTAGCCTAAAAGAAACACTCTTATAAATCTAATGACTAGATAAGAAATTGCAAGTCCAAACCAAAAATGTTCATTACATGTTTTCTAAGCCTAAACAAAAGTTAGAAAATTTGGTTGCGTATTACATCAAATGCCTTTCAACGTCAAAACTCATTGTTCTGAATTCAAAATTGGGCAGTGTAGTATGTAGATGTAGCGACAACTAAACATCCACTTGGACAATAGACTTGTTTGGAATTAATCAAAAATCTAATTTTTTTTTTTTTATTTAAGAGAAAAGAAGCCTGAATATAGTCAGGCTTCTTTACAATGACTCGATTGTGGCTGTGCTTATTCATACGAGGACCATTGGATTGAGAATGATAGTTGTTTTGTCGCAAAATAACTTCAATTGAGCCCAACAATATGGACGGTATAAATTATAATTGACTAGGTCAGCTAACACCAGTGGCCCCCTTTTAGCACGCGTAGAGACAAAGTCCAAAGTCCTTATTAAAGACATACGTGGTCCCTCTCATTTGTTGGGAGGTCATAGGTTAGTTGCTTAGTTGGGTTTAGATGGTCACAATTCTTCGTTGAGGGTGGGGTCTGCCGGTGTGGGCAGGTTGCAATTGCTTCACGCAAGTAGCCTCTCCCACATACACCTCGCAACCCCACCCTAATCTTTTCCTTCTAATTTCCATAATCTTATCTCTAAAGTTCCCAGTAGACCCTTCTATTTTGTTAATCATAGATTAATAACGATTAAAATTTTCAACAAGATTTAAGTTTGTATCGAAAAATTTATGCGAACAATTCACGATTTGAAATCACCATTTGAGTGTATTCATGGTTGAGAGGAGTGACTAAATAGGACTGATAATGGATTATGTTGCGGTGAGCGACTAAATTGTATCGTTTGGACATAGATTAAATTTACACACAGATATCCACGAAACAACTTTGATTTGCATCAACAGGATCATGATCCAGACCTATCAAAACCAAGATCATATCAACTGATTTGATGTCAATTTTGTGTCTTGTGAGCGAGTCAGGATCAAAACTACCAACAATAATGAGCATTATATATATATATATATTAACTATTTCAAAAGATAAGGTGTTGTTATTTGTTATTTTACGTAAGTCTTTTTTTTTTTTTTTTCCTGGTTTAATGGTTAGTAGGGATGACAGTGGATTGGGGCGTGCGCAGCACGAGGGAAGTAGTCTCCACCTCCGTATTCCGTTAGCGGGAAAAATTTTAATCCCTGTCCCCGCGTTGCAAATAAATTTTGATCTTTGTACTCGTCCTTGCCACCATCCCCGCCTTTAACAATTAATTTTTATAATTTTAAGAAAAAAATTAAAAAAAATCATAAAATCTCACAAATGGATCTAAAAGAAGGAAAAAAACTCATTATATAACAAATGGATTAAACATAAAAACTCACAAAAATAATATGTATAACAAATGTGTGTTTCACTTAACAAATGTGGACCCCTCCTGTCCCGCTAAACTCGTAATATATATATATATATATATATATATACACACATACATGGGTATCCCTGTTTATATTTATTGTCTAATACATATGGTCCATCTTTGGTCCAAATAGGACGAGTTTGGACAAATATTCGTTTTTCTCCAATCCATTGTTATCCCTAACAGTCATGAGTGTTTATGTTATCTTACGTATACCTTGACTAATTCTCTTTTTTAATCCAGTCAAAGGCAGATCATTCACGTTGGGACTAGAGTATTCATGAGAAATAAATCTCTCATGACCTAACTCCAAAAAGTTGCCAAAATTTAAACTAAAAATGTCTAAATTTATAACTCATTCCAGTTATCATTTCAAATACAATTATTTTACATAGGCGTTTTGGCATTCAAGTTTAGTCGGGTTATATTATGTATAATAATCAATTCACCTACAAGATGTTCTGAAGTGTTGATTATTATACACAATTCTCTGTGCCTTATCTCCACTCTTTTTTACATTGGTTCTTATCTCCACTATTTTTTACATTGGTTCTGCCATTAGGGGTTTGAATTAGAAAAACTTCTTTT